GGGGAGGGGCAGAGAGAGAGGGAGACACAGAATCGGAAATAGGCTCCAGGCTCTGAGCCATCAGCCCAGAGCCCGACGCGGGGCTCGAACTCGCGGACCGCGAGATCGTGACCTGGCTGAAGTCGGACGCTTAACCGACTGTGCCACCCAGGCGCCCCGAGAGCTAACTATTTTTAATAAATAATAATTCTTCAGTTGTTCCAGGAAATCGAGATAATAGTGTGCCAGATGTGCTCTGAGGCCTTTATTGTCAGGAGTCAGGGCTTCCTCACCAGAGCCTCATGGGTCATGCCCATGGTCCCAAATTGTTTTGTCCAAGGAAAGGGCTTCAAGAGGACCGGGCTCTCTGGACCCTGAGCTGTCCTGTAACTGGGCTGCTCTTGGGTAGAATCTTGAAATAATTCCTATCCTCCTCTGGGAGATGGGGCTCCAGATCCTGGGGAAGCAGGGCAAAGGATGTGGTACTTGCCCCATTAGGAAACTGTGAAGGCTTCAGCCATTCTGACCCTCTGTTTCTTTTTCAGAAGAGCCTTCAACATCTTCAGATCCCTTTTCCCTGAAAACCATCGAAGATGTGAGAGAGTTTTTGGGAAGACACGCGGAGAGATTTGATAGGAGCATTGCCTCTTTCCAGCGAACATTCCGGGAATGTGAAAGAAAGAGCCTGCGTCATCACATAGTCAGTAGCTGTGTCTTGCTTTGCCAGACATGCTCTGTTTCAGGCCAGTTCAAGAGCACGGGGATCGCTCTCAGTTCACTCTGAAACTTTGCTGCCTCCGCTGTTGGAAGTTTTGTTTAAATGTTTCTCTCTAACTGTAAAAGTAGTACAAGCCACCGGAGAACGCTTGAACATGACAAATATAAAGATGAATATTATTATCACCTATGTTAACCCCAGAGGAAATTTTCTCCTGCCCTTCATGCATATACAGCTAAAAAAAAAAAAAATTGAAAAAAAATCACATAATTTATTTGATAAGCTTGTATTAGGACTTCAATACAGGAAATACATCTTGCGAGATGTTCTCACTCCGGGACACATTACACGTTCTGGGTTTTGTGTCGTGGCCTCGGACTGTGAGAGTGATCGGTTTCTCTGTGTTGCACAGGACTCGGTGAATGCTCTCTACACCAAATGCCTCCAGCAGCTTCTGAGGGACTCTCACCTGGTAAGCAGCAGGACCTCCGAGAGAGAGAACTACGGTTTGCCCACATGCCGATCTAAGCCCTTTAACGGTGGTACCTTCTTGTTCCGCAGAAAATGCTTGCCAAGCAGGAGGCCCAGATGAACCTGCTGAAGCAGGCGGTGGAGGTAAGAGGTCAGGGCGGCGAGGGGCGAGAAGGCAGCGGTGCCAGGGGGCGCTCCTTGTCACCTCTGCACACCCCAAACGGGGGTCTGTTCGTTGATTCCACAGATGTACGTCCAGCACGATATTTATGACCTGATCTTTAAATATGTGGGGACCATGGAGGCAAGCGAGGTAGGTTCTAAATCGCTGTCATCCCGGTTGGAAGCCGCCTTCGAAACTTTTTACGAAATCTGAAACCTCGTTAAAAATCTGTTGTTAGGATGCTGCCTTTAACAAAATCACAAGAAGCCTTCAGGATCTTCAGCAGAAGGATATTGGTGTGAAACCTGAGTGCAGGTAAGGGTATGTGCTGCAGGAACTCGGCGTCCTCAGCGGCGGGGGCCGCTTCTTCTGGAAGCAGGGCTCTCAGTGGCAGGGGCCGCACGCTGGTTTGACTTAATCCATACTGAGGAGCAGTGCGGGGTATTTGTGACCAGAGATAAAGGGCCGAGGTTGGCAGATGAGTGTTTTGTGGCTGTCACCCTCCTGCACCTGTCATGCCAGCTGGTTGGGAGCTCCAGGGTGGGATTTGGCACAGCTGGTCTCTTGGCAGGCCCACCGCTCGCCCAGGTGGGTCTGTGTGCGGGCGTCTCTCCTCACCTGCCTGTCTGAGGGAGGCCTGCCAGAGAGGCACTGGCTTTTGAGTTAATTTCCATTCCATTAGGATACAAAACTATCTAAAGTGGTTATGTTTAAACTATTTTAACCCCTTGGAGCTATTTCACTCTGGGGCTAAGGACTTTTTTCTTCCCCCCTAATTTTCTGGTGCCGCTATAATATCATTTTGCATCCTGAGTGGGACATTCAGAGGTGTTGAGTTTTGCCACTGACCTGAGTCAGATTGCTTCTGAGTTTCTGTGCGTGTTTTTCGTTACTTACAGTTTGTGGGAAGCAGTGTAATAGGCCAGGGAAGAAGGGCCCTTACACTGTGGTCTTAAGTTGTCACTTTCCAAATTTTTTCACAGCTTCAACATACCTCGTGCAAAGAGAGAGCTGGCTCAGCTGAACAAATGCACCTCTCCGCAGCAGAAGCTGGTTTGTTTGCGGAAGGTGGTACAGCTAATTACACAGTCTCCCAGCCAGAGAGGTTTGTGCTTGGGGCAGGGGGCCGGCCGGGGCGTAGATACATCCACATGCAGATCTGTCAAGGAGCAGCGTTCTCTTATTTGTTTTTAAATTTATTTTAATGTTTATTCATTTTTTGAGAGGGGGGTGGAGAGAGAATGCGCTGGGGATGGGCAGAGAGAGAGGGAGACACAGAATCCAAAGCAGGCTCCAGGCTCTGAGCTGTCAGCACAGGGCCCGATGCAGGGCTTGAACCCACGAACCATGAGATCATGACCTGAGCCGAAGTCAGCCACTTAACCGACTGAGCCACCCAGGCACCCCGGAGCAGTGTTATCTTAAAGGATCATACAGATGGGCTCACGTGCAGCAGACTGTTCCAGCATGAGCCCCCTGGAGTCTGCTCTGATGCGTGGGTGCCTAGTAAAGGGGGTGAAGAGGTAAGTGAGGTATGATTTGGGTAAGAAAATGGTGGCAGAGAAGCAGCGGCCTCAAAAATGAGCCAGGCTGCCCCACACCTGCATGGACATCATGCAGCTGATATATAAATCAGAATCCAAGCTGCGTAGGTCCTTTGAGAACCTGACTTTGCGAAGTGAATGACACTGTCTGCTCGAGTCTGAACTTGCCTGGGTGCAGGAGTGTGTATGATTGACTTTAAACTTCCTATTGTGTGTTCTCTTGAACCTGTCACACCACTGGGGCGGGGGGGGGGGGGGGGGGGGGGGGGGTTGGTATTCGTTTGGTCCAGTGCCGAATTGTCCACTGGCCCCTTCTGCAGTTGTGTTCCAGTCTGACAATGTTTGGTTGATGACATTCCTTGGCTAAAATTAAACACCTTTAATCTTAAAGAAAAATGAGCCAAGCTGGTGATGGGTACATGGGGGTTTGACTGTTCGTTAGACCGCTCTTCCTAATTTTGTGTATGCTTAAAATTTTCCATTATAAAAAGTAAAGCAAAATAAGCTAAGATGAAAAAAGTAAAGGGGAGTCATATCTGTGTGCCCAGATAGGGGATGCTTTTCAAAGCACGTCGAGTGAAATAAATGGGAGTGTATATGGTGCACTTCTAACAGCATTCCAGAAAAAGGAGGCGGCTGTATGTGCACGACGGCGAGTTCCTAGACTGTCTCTGGAGAGGCAGGTGGGAAGCCACAGCAGTAGCGTCTGGGGGAAGAAGACTGCCTGGCAGGGATGGGAGAGACAGTCACAGACTGCTCTTTTGCGCTATTCGAGTTTTTAGAATGATTAGTGAATGGAGTCCTTACAATTTCAAAGTGGAAAAAATGGAAACAGGCTAAATGTGAGCATTAGGATCTGCAGTACGTAAAACGGAAATAATCTCAGGAGGGAAGAGGCTTTTCGAGGTGGCTCTGGGCACACCTCTGCCCACCTTCACTGACTCTAACTGTCCTGGAAGGTGGTGAGGGGTAGTCTGCTGGGAACCCCCTTCTTTTGCACGTGTTCTGAGAATGCTAGGCATTCCCCTCAAATGTGACGTCTATTTAGGACACTGTAAAGAAAATCATAGAGTTGAACCGCTCCCTGAGGCGTAGCCTTACTGGATTGTGGTTTTGTGGGCTGGATGATGGTGGGGAGTTGATATGCTTGTTGGTCTGTTTGAATCTCATGCTGGCTTCGAACATGTGTTTCCTTCCTGCAGTTAACTTGGAGACCATGTGTGCTGATGATCTGCTATCAGTCCTGTTATATTTGCTTGTGAAAACGGAGATCCCTAATTGGTAATATTTTCTGTTGAAATACTTTTTGAAAATGGCAAAATGGTTTTAGTCTAACTGCAGGAGATTGAGCGCCCCTTGTGAGTCCGTTGCTGTGCCTGCCCTACACCCGTTCCGGGGGGTGGCTATCATTCCACTTCCAGATGGGAAAACTGAGGCCCACAGAGCTTATGTTTCTTGTTCTGGAAGACACAGCTAGTCAGTGATGGAACAGGAAGCTGGCTTCAGTTCCGACTCCAAAGCCCATCCTCTTCCGATGGGAACCCCTGGTTCGCTTTACAGTAATCAGCTTTTTAAAAACTAGCATACTCCAGGAAAGGACCAGGTGGTTTTACTTATTTTCCTAATTGCACATGCGCTAGAGGTTAAGGGGGTAGCAGTCATAGGTCGCCGGAGCTAACGGACTTCAGTCACTCACGCCAGCTTGAGTGACTGCATTGTTTGTGGAGAGGTGTGAATGGGATATACAACAATGAAACTTTTTTCTTCCTTTTGATAGGATGGCAAACCTGAGTTATATCAAAAACTTCAGATTTAGCAGCTCAGCAAAAGATGAATTGGGATACTGCCTGACCTCCATTGAGGCTGCGATCGAATATATTCGGCAAGGAAGCCTCTCCGTTAAGCCGCCTGTAAGATCCCTCCTGCCTGGCCTTTCTTTGTGGGTGTCAGGGCATGTTTGATAGGGTTCTGAGGTTGGGGGTGAGGAAGGGGATTCTTAAATGTCCCCCAAGAACGAGGCCTCTGTTGTCTAAGGGCTGTGAGACTTGACAATCGCCTAGCAGACTGAAGTGCTAAAATTGGTTGTGAAAGTGGCAGATTACGACCGGGATTCACGTGGTTAAAATCCTGCTTCGTTAATCATCACCATCCTCAAAAGCGTAGGCAGGAGGGGGAAGCTAGAAACCATGAGTTTGGGTATGTAGGCAAGAGATGAGGTTATTAATAAATGCAATTTTAGGACTCAGTGGTCTTATTATTTTCTTGGCGAGCTTTGCTTAGGGGAAGTGATTATATTTGTACGTGAAATATGAGAATCTTAAACTGGGGTTGCATTGCTGGCCTGTTTTCACCAGCCAGCAAAATGTGACCATACCCCCAGAAATCACAAAGTTGAAATTGGTAAAGTGAAGAGATTCCTGTATTACACACGAGGAGTCCTGAGGATTGAACACTCCCTTGATCTTAATTTTCTGCTGATGTCAGAATCTCCCAAAGTAATGATAAGTTAATATATCTGGAAAATACCCATAGGCCTGCCCAGACAGGTGCACTTGGGTAAAAACAGTTCCCCTGACTTCATTCATTGTTAACATGTGTATGTGCTTTCCTGTCTTCCCATCCGTGTATACTTCACATAATTTATATCATATATGGCATTTTACACTGTTTTTCCCCAAAACAGTGGTCGTATTTTTTTCTGATGAGAAAACCAATACTTGCTTACAAACAATATTTGCAATATACAGTTGACCCTTGAACAACGCAGGGATTAGAGTTGCTGACCCCTCGCGTGGTTGCAAATTGGTGTATAACTTACGACTCCTCAAAAACTTAACTACGAGTAGTCTACTGTTGACCAGAAGCCTTACCAATAATATAAGCGGTCAATTAAGACATATTTGGGGGACACCTGGGTGGCTCAGTCAGTTAAGAGTCCAACTTCGGCTCAGGTCATGATCTCAGGGTTCACGAGTTCAAGCCCCGCGTCCAGCTCTGTGCTGACAGCTCGGAGCCTGGAGCCTGCTTCGGATTCTGTGTCTCCCATTCTCTCTGCCCCTCCCCTGCTCGTGTGCTCGCTCTCTCTCTCTCTCTCTCTCAAAAATAAATAATTAACTAAAAACCTAAAAAAAAAAAAAAAGAAAGAAACACCCTAAAAAAAAAAAAAAGACATTTTGTATGTTGTACATATTCTATACCATATCCTTAAAGTAAGCTGGAGAAGAGAAAGCATTATTAAGAAAAACACAAGGCCGAGAAAATTCATTTAGAGTACTGTGCTGTGTCTGTCGCCATATAAGTGGACCCATACACTTCGAACCTGTGTTGTTCAAGGGCCAGGCCAGCTGTATAAAGTTGCAGTGAAGAGAATAAATACCTCTCATAAACTCACTAGCTGGAGATGACTTACTAACCTTTTGGTACGTATCTTTTTTCTGTGCCTATGCAATTATATTTTTAAGGAAAATTTGAGATTATGCTCCTCTTGTTGGCACGTAGGCTGACGGTAGGAATTGCCTGACGTCCCTCGTGGGGTCAGGGGTGCTCCTGGTCACCTGGAGGGAGGTGCCCGCCTCCTGAGGGTGCAGCTTTCCCCTTGCCGTCCCCGTCCTGCACCATGGCCACCCTGATTGCTTACTTTCTGTGGTGTGTAGGCAGGAAGTGCAGCACTTGAAGCCTTTGACCAGAGCGTAAGGAGGTGGCTGACCACAGAGCAGCAGTCAGCTTCCCACATCCACTTTGACTTCATACCATGTCCCAACTGGGATCGGGAGAGGTTTTTGTTTGTTTGTTTTTTTGATTTTTATTTATTTAAGATTTTATTTTTAAGTAATCTCTACACCCAACACAGGGCTTGAACTCACAACCCCGAGATCCAGAGTCGCATGCTCCACCGACAGAGCCAGCCTGGTGCCCCTGGACTGGGGGGCGTGTTGAGGGGTGGCCCTTCTTGTGCTGGTGTTGGCTTGAGCCTGATAACTTGTGTTAGCCCTGGGCAAGGCTGTCTAAGTTTATGTCCATTTCTTGTCTACACTGAAGACGATGCTGTATGTTTGACCTCTTGCTGGGAGTTTACGAGAAACAAATAGGGTATTTGAAAGTGCCTTTGTGAAGCAGAAGATGATCCTGGTGCCCTTAACTTGCTCTTCCAACACCCCTGCATCTGGGCATCTCTGTTTCCTGGTCCTCTGGTGCATCCTGCATGGATGGCCCCAAGGAAGGCCATTAGTTTGGGTGGGCAAGGTGGGGACACAGCCCAGTGTGCCCCTCTTGTCCGGGGTGTCTGACCCTGGTCCTGGTCCTGCCTTCCTGGGTGGGGGGTGGTTGGTCCTGTCAGATGTCGGGACAAGGTGTGCATCATCCTTACAGCTGGCCGTGAAGCCAGTCCCTTGAGTCTTGAGTGGGTCAGGCCTGAGAGATCCTTACCTTTATTGACAGAGCAGGTAGTGTGGCTTCCTTGTCTTTTGTGACGCCGGCACTGAGATTCTCCCGGTGGCGTTGCCTCGGCCTTAGCTGCTGACTGGATTCTTGTCAGCAGTGCAGTTCCATCTTGGAATGTGGGAGGCCACTGCCCTGTGTTGGTGTCCTTTCCTGGGGAAGGAGCTTAAGTGTATCTGCACACGGCGGGTGAGGTTTCTGAAAAGCATTAAAGACTAAGTATTAGTAAATCAAATTACGTTTTACTATTCCTTCTTTATATAACACCATGTTGTTTCACAGAAAGTTTACCCCCCAAGATATCATTGTACTTGAGGTGACCTTATATATATTCTTTAAGCATAAAGACTTAAAAGTCTCGTAAATAAAGACTAGCTTCTTGCAAATGAGCATTACTGAGATGACTCTAGTTTAACCTGTGTAGACCAGAAAACGGGGAGCACTCTGTTCCAGCTCTGTGGGCTTCTGGTCTTTGTCTCTTTACTGAGCTTCTAATAAATAGTATTTACCCCTTTCCCAAATAGATCTGAGCTGATATGTGGTCTCTTCTGGTAGCTCATTTCTCCTTGAAGATTCAGGACCTCAGGGCTTGCCCCTCTTCGTCACTGCCATTCATGTAGTTACCCAGAGTCAAGGAAGGGACCCCAGATTTACCTGAGCAACAATGTCTTTGACATTTCTCTGACATTAAGCTGCGTGGCCTATAAATCACTGAATAAAAACAGGTGGGTTAGAGCCTTATATCGCTGATGGTAGGTGGGAGCAAAATGGCTGTCACCCTGAGGGGTTGGTGTGTGTTTGCCGGGTTAACCCTTTCAGGGCAGCTGGTGTGAGGGACCCTGTCTGACAGAGGACCCCAGAAACGGGCCATCCCTTGAGGTGCTGTTGGCTCTGTCTTCAGCTGGATCTCTAAAGTCAGAACTTACAGGGCCATCAAGGGCCTTCTCCCATAATTTTGTCAGGGTTTGGGGAGTTCTTCTAGCAGCAACTGTCTGGGGAAGACATCTCCCTTTACTTCCCACTGAAACTTCTGAGGAAGTTAATTTGTCATTAGTCAATTTGCAGGTGCTCCGGTGAGCATTGAAGTGTCTTGCTAGGGATTATTTCATAAAGTAAGGATGAAGTAGCTAGGTAGACATTACCTGCAATACGAAGACCTGAGTTTATTATTTGGGGTGGACCCCGGTATGTTATAGGATTTGGGAACAGTGGCCATATTGTCTGCTATTTTCCGAAGTATGTTAGAAAGGCAAGACCCCTCCTCTCTCCTGCTGGTTGACACTGGGAAGCGCAGAACAGCCTGTCAAATGGGTTTCTCGTCTGTATGCCCAGATAAAGTGGCAGGGGACAGGGCTAGGCAGGCGTTAGGACAGCAGTTTGAGAGGAGGAGGAGGAGGACAGGACAATCCAGGCTTCGATCTGGAGGGTGATGGTGTGTGCACGCTACATTCCACACTTAGTGATGACACATTCCACACACGGGTGCGCATCGGCAGCGTGCCGCCCCTCGCCCCCGTCCCCACCGGGAAGGGACCATCACAGCTGCCACTTCCTGTGGGGACAGACGGGAAGCGCTTCTCCCAGCCGGATGCGGATCTGCTGTCTGGCCCAGGGAGAGAGGCACTGTCGATCCTGTTCTGTGCAAAGTAGCAAGGACTGCTCCCGGGCTCTCCATTTTGAAGGATCTGCACTGACATCTTGTGACAAGTTGATAAAACAGATTGTTGGGTTTTTCCTGCAGGAGTCTGAAGGATTCGGTGACAGGCTATTCCTGAAGCAGAGAATGAGCTTACTGTCTCAGATGACTTCAACTCCCATTGATTGTCTGTTTAAGGTAAGACACCCAAGACGTCCTTGTGGGTGCAGGTGTGTGAGGAACGTTTCATCTTTCTGCATCTCTGGGGTCTCTGCAGAATCCGTCAGGGCGGTCTGCTTGGTGAAACACCACGGTTCCTTTTGTGCTCCGGGTGGGTGGCCGGAATACTGAGCTTTTATGTCTGTCTACCTCCCCCCAGGTGTGCTATGCCACAGCCGGGAGGGGCCAGCACACCAAGGGCACTGGGCCTCGCCGACAGCCCTCTGCCCGGCTGTCCTCTCTCCCCTCGGCAAAATACGACTTGTTCTCCGTGATCTGCTCTGTGGAGCCTCACTGGTGGCCTCTGCGGAGCTGACACCTCTCCTGGGCTCCAGGAGCCCCGTGTCGCCAGTGTTTGTGGGAGCTCGCCCCAGGCTGGGAGCTCAGCGCCCGGTGGTGGTTTCATCACTCATGCATTGAGCCCTGGGAGGCTGACAAGGTGCCCTGCTGGGTAGTTGGCGAGGGCTGAGTGAAGGCACACCTCCGGGAGCCTGTGGGTGCTTCTGGCTACCCAGAACCACACTGTGTTGGTGGAGCACCCCTGAGCCTCCCCGGGGGCAACGTGCTCCCAAGAACATCTCATCTCCTGAGAGGGGCGCATCCAGGAATCGCAGGGGTGAGCCCTGTAGGCCTGTTGGTTGATGGATCTCTTGCTAACTGCAGCTGTTCCCTTTCCCCCCAGACCAAGGCTCTGTTAGAATACAAGGGGACAGCACCGAGGGGTGTGCAAGTGAGGAGTCAGCGTCCACACTGAGGTTCAGGAGGTGTGGTCCTCCCCCACCGTTGGTTTGGGAATTTTGTCACGTCGTTGTTGTTTTCAATTACAGAAGATTTGTAACATTTCCAAAAGTGAACAGAGTATAAATGCACACCCACGGGGCTATCTTCGTCTTTTTTTGTCTCCACCCCCACCCGCTTGCCCTGTCCGCCAGGTTATTTTGAAACACATCCCAAAGAGCAAGTCGTGTCATTTATCTGTACAGAGATCCTGGCTTCTTGTAAGGAAGCTCCAAAAATTCACGCCTTAAAAAGCAAGTAATTCCTTAAGATTGACATTATTTTTGATGTCACTTTTTAGCACATTGCCTCAGGTAACCAGAAAGAAGTGGAAAGACTTCTGAGCCAAGGTGACCAAGATAAAGATGCCGTCCAAAGGATGTGTCACCCTCTGTGCTTCTGCGATGACTGTGAGAAACTGGTCTCCGGGTAAGAAGGTCCCTGGGGAGGCCAGCAAGTGGCAGGGCAGGGCTTTCACACTAGTTGTGCAGTTTTGAATAAAGACCTTCCCCTCACTGCACTCCGCTTCTGCTGCTGTAAAGTGGAGACAAAAACACCCGCCTCTTTGGAGAATCAGATGGGATAAAGTTCGTAAAAATACTTGGCACTCTGCTGGGCGGGATGCCAGAGTAGGCAGGCACAGAGCCTGCCAAGCCTCAGAAAGTAGATCTTAGGATGGGAGGGATGTCAGTTTCTCCCAGTAACCCTTCGGGTTTCTCTTCCCTTCGTCAGGCTGTTTCCAGGCTGTGTCGCTGGATGTCATGGCCTAGAGGGGGTGGGTGGGGGGAGGGAGTCTACCAGCCACCTCACCCTGCAGGAGGTCAAGCAGGGACTGGATGATCTCTGGGAAGCTCTTAAAGAGACCCAGCTTGGCTCACACCCCTGAGATCTGTCTGTTAGCCCCAGGACCCTGGCATGTCCAGCATGGTAGGGAGAGGCTTTGCCCTTCTGTTCCAAGGATATATTTTTCTGTATCTTCCTCTTTTAGGAGGCTGAATGATCCCTCCATTGTCACTCCATTTTCCAGAGACGACAGGGGTCATACACCACTCCATGTGGCCGCCCTCTGTGGTATGTGGTTTTGCGTTGGCCTTTGGTTGGGCTTTTAAGGCAGAGGGATGGAGTGGGGGGTGGTTCAGCAGAGGCCTGACGGACAGGGCGGTGGAGTTGGGGGTGGAAGGGGCCGTGCCATGGGCCACTTCACCACCTTCTGTTGCTGAGGGGTGGACTGGAGCCGAGCCCCCTCCAGACACCCTACAGTGTCCTGAATCTGTAGAGTCTGACTTGATGTTAGCTCTGGTTCCTCTCGAGTAGAAAAACACTTCCTGGCATGTCTCCTGCCAGAGAAGAGAGTAAAATAACAGGGCTTCACATTTAGGGTTTGGAGAGCCTCTGCTCTTTCCTTCTCTGTGGTGCAATCCTTCTGTTCCCCAGGGCAGGCATCCCTCATTGACCTCCTGGTTTCCAAAGGCGCGGTGGTAAACGCCACGGACTATCACGGGTCTGCCCCGCTTCATCTCGCGTGCCAGAAGGGCTATCAGAGCGTGACGGTGAGCAGGGGAGCCACCCCCGGCTCAGCGTGCTGACCTCGTGGTCATGCGCCTGTGTCGCATCCTGGGTCTGCTACAGCCTCAGGGAAAGGCTGTGTGTCTGAGCCTCAGGGGTCTCCCTGTGGGTCCATGGGACAAGACCCTTCGGTGTAGACCTGACACAACAGGATAGCTTCGGGGAAGGAGGGTGGGGCTCTAGGCCTTTTCCTTGAATGGCTCAGCGCTTCGCAGGGAAGGCTGGGAGTGATGGATCATTTTAACTGTAGTGTAGGGAGATGTGGTTGCAGTTGGAAATGGGCCACTTCCCCGTGGGGCTCCAGGCTACGCCTCCCGCGGGAAGCGTGCACCTGCAGCGGCTGGGGGGGGGGGCGCCGGGGCTCACCCGATCTCTCCTCTCCTTTGGAAGCTGCTGCTGTTGCACTACAAAGCCAGCCCCGAGGTGCAAGACAACAATGGCAACACGCCTCTCCACCTGGCCTGCACCTACGGCCACGAAGACGTAAGTGGCGCTTCCCGCTCCCAGAGTAGCTGTTCTTTCCCTTTCTCGCTCCTGGAGAGAGGTGCACTTCCGATTGGTTTAACATCGTTAGTTTATGTTGATCGTTATTGGAACATTTGGCGTGCAATTTCTTTTTAATTAAAAACATCTTAAATTTATTGCAGATGTTCTACTGAAATAACAGAAATCTAAACTTTAATTGCCCGTTAGCTTATCCTGAAATTAAATCATTGTCACTCATCCCCACGGCCATCTGGTTCTTACCTTTGTTCGTATTCAGTTTTTATGTTTTGGGGTTTGGAACAATAGCAAAAATTCTATCATTTCTGTCTCCACTTAACATTTAACTGTGTGTGTGTTATTTTGCCATAGCCACTCTGTCTCCGTCTTCTCTGTATGGTAACACAGGGGTGGGTTTATACAGGTTGAGGCTGGATTAGGTGGTTGATGTGCAAAAACAAGATCATACCCTACACGTCTTTATGCAACTTTTTCTTTTTTAAGTTTGTTTATTTTGAGAGAGGGCAGGGGGAGGGGGGAAAAAGAGAGGGAGAGAGAGAATCTAAGCGGGCTCTGCACTGATGGTGCGGAGCCCGACGTGGGACTCGAACTCATGAACCATGAGATCGCGACCTGAGCCGAAATCAAGAGTCAGATGCTTAACCAACTGAGCCACCCAGTTGCCCCTATGCAACTTACTTCATTACCAGTGCATCATGGAAATCCTGTAGGTCAGTAAATGTAGATCCAGCCCGTTCTTTAATCACTACCCAGTGATCTGTTACATGTGTGGTGTCTGTGTCCCCAAGACCACCCCTTGGTTCAGTACTTTGCTAGGACGACTGAGAGGACTCAGCATATGGTCATATTGCTATGATTGATTATAGCAAAAGGACACAAAGCACAGTCACCCCAGGGAAATGTGAGTGGGTGAAGTCTGGAGGACCCCAGGTGCAAGCTTCAAAGCGTCCTGTCTCCTGGGAGACACGCAGGACATACTTGGTTCATCCAGCCGTGAGTTACAACAGCAAATATGAAGTGCTATCTACCAGGAAAGCTCAGTAGGGACTCTAGGCCCAAGGTTTTATTGGAAGCCAGTCAAGTGAATACCCTCTGCCTGGCACATACCTGAATTCCAGACTCCTGGAAGGAAAGCAGGTGATCAGCATAAACCACATTGTTGCACGATTTAGACACAGTGAGCCACTCTTAACGCATTAGGGGACCGGGAACACTCCCCAAATCCAAGCCCTCCAGGAACGTTGCAAGTCAAGGGCCAACGTTGCAAGCATTCAAGGGATAGCGGTCTCATGCCTGCTATGGTCACTCCTCTCTGCACATGGACACATCACAATTTATTCAGCCTTTTTGTACTGATTGGCAGTTGGGTTCTTTAGAAAAAATGATGTGTCCTGATGAGGTAACCCAGAAGGAACCTTTGAGGTCTGTCTGTTCCCGCACACTTGCTTGGTGAGCAGAGCCCAGATTCCCCTGGGATGTGGACTGAGGCTGTGGAATCCACAGACGTCGCCCGAGTCTCAGCGTGTGACTTAATGGTGGCATTTCCCGCTTTCTTTGCAGTGTGTGAAGGCTCTGGTCTACTATGACGTGCAGTCATGCAGACTGGATATTGGTAATGAGAAAGGAGACACCCCACTCCACATAGCTGCACGTTGGGGCTACCAAGGCATCATAGAGACATTGCTACAAAATGGAGCATCCACAGAGATCCAGAACAGACTGAAAGAAACACCCCTCAAGTGTGCCCTAAACTCAAAGGTAGCTTTTTTTCATCTCCGAGCATCAATATGACTTTAAAACAAAAAAAAATCAATGTCCAGAGATTAGCTCTTGGCCGCGCTGGACAAACTGCACGCTAGTGCCTGAGAACAGAGCTTGGCCTGCACCCTCTCTGCTGCATTTGGGGCCTGGTGGCTAATGGGTCTTACTTATTTCTATTGTTTTGAGCATCATTAGCATATTTTGTCCATGTTGTTCCAAGAGCTGCTCGCTGCAGAGTCTGCTCCGACCCCGAGTGCTGTGGGTTTATGAGCAGACAGAGCGGGGGGAATAGGACAATGGCTCTGGCCGTGAGAAGCAGGGATGGGGGGCCCGGGGCATGGAGGCAGTGAGCGTCAGAGCTCTGTCTTCCTGTTACTTCATCCTAACAGCTTTATTCTCTTTTGGCCAATTTTGAACATCGTTGGGTATGGTTTCTTTCCTCAATGGCTCACGAATGAGCGAATCCTTTCCTGTTAGTAATTTCTGGGAACACGGAGTGTCGTCAGAGTGCTCAGCTCGTGGGCAGGTGGGGAACGAGGGATGTACAGAGGCCGGCTCTCTGTGCCTCTCCTCTCGCAGCTGCTCTGGCTGAAGAGACACCTTCAGAGAAACACGGTTGGCCTGCTGGCCAGGGCAGCGGAAGGCCGAGGCCGTCATACTGCACCCAGAACATCACGGATTTGCAGTCACGTCAGCGATTCTGTGTTAATACGGGTCTCCAGCCACTTCCCTTTGCCCAGGCTCTGCTCTCTGCCCCTTAACGTTTCCCTGGCTTCTTACACAATTGCCATCTGTCTTCCAGGGCATTCTCTCAGTGTTCCAGTCTTTTTCTAGGGGAGCGGTTTTTGTTTTTCAGCCACTTTATTGAGGTACAATTGACATACAAAAAGCTGAACTTCTTTAATATATACAATTCAGTGGGGTACACACCTGTGTGGAGACCGGCTCTGTAACCCATGCCATGGACGTACTCATCACCTCCAGATCTTTCCTCCCGCCCTCTTTATTTGTCGTTACTATTGTCATTATTTTGTTTGTGTCATAAAAACACAACGTAAGATCAGGAGCAGTTTTTGAAGGTTTAAATCCCCACTTCTCACCCCAGGGGGCCTCAGCCATGCTTCCCGTCCACTCACGGGGTCTCGGGCTCTGTGGCGGCCAGAGCTGATGGGATGGGCGATGCCACCCTTGGCCTGAGGTGTCCGTGAGCAGCAGAGAGCTCTCCCGCCGCTGTACTCCCTTCTAGAAGGATATGTGTAGAGAGAAGGGCAGACCGCCTTCTTGGCTCAGCTGTGATCGGTTCCTGCCCGAGACCCGGGGGTGCCAGTGGGAAGGTCACACTTTGTGTCTGTGGACAAACAGCCCAGGGGCCCCTTCTGTTCCTGGGCTTCTCTTGTCCTCTGAGCCCATTCATGGAAAGCCCCAGCTGGTAGACAGCAGGAACAGAGGGGTGGCAGCAGGAAGCCCATGCTTAGTCGGTGTGATCTTGAGTGAGCTCCTGCCCGTTCAGGCTGTGGTTTCTCTGTCCCTCCAAGGGTGTGGTTGGGCCGCATGACCTTCCGAGGGGATGGGCAGGCAGCAGGGCATATGGGTGATGATGCTCTGGCAGCCTTCCTCGTTCAGTATCTTCCATATCCCCTTCTCCTCCTAGATTCTGTCAATAATGGAAGCCCGTCATTTGTCCTTCGAGAAGAGGAGGAAGTCTTCCGAGGTGAGTGGACAGGGCTGGGCTTGGTGGCCCTCTCTGAGCCCAGGGCCTGCTCTGGCCCTCACGAGGCCCTTCTCCTGTCGGTCCCCCTGGCTGCAGGTCCCAGTGCAGCCTGCTCAGCGCCCTGTGGATTCCATCAGCCAGGCCTCCTCTACCTCCAGCTTCTCCTCTGTGTTGGCACGCTCCGTACAGGAGCCCAAGAAGGACTACAGAGAGGTGAGGCTCCCAGACGGGAGGGCGGACGGGATGGTGGCCCTGTGTCACGGCTGCTACTTAAAGAGCCACAGCGTGATGAGAGCTGCCTAGCGGGCCACCACCGGCACTACTGGGCCAACTTGTCTGCCGTGGCCTGGAGGGAGCCCAGCCAATTCTTGCCTTGCTTCTTGCATGGTCAGCTCCTGAAACAGCTCTTCGCCTTAGGGATTTTGTGTGTGTGTGTGTGTGTGTGTGTGCGCGCGCGCGCGCGCATGCACGCGGCAAAGGGAGAGAAGAAGGAGCCTTCTAGGAAAAGTCCCAAGTCAAGTCCCCTGTTGGTCCACAGATTTAAGACCATTTTACAAACTAAATTCTCTCCCCTTACGACCCACTCCATAAGCATCCTCCTCAACCTGATGCGTCATTTCTGACTTCTTGCGAACACATTGTGTTCTGTAAAAGGTGGTTTATAGCCTGTTTTTTTTTTTTCTCCACTTAATCTACCCGAGAGCTTGTCCAGCGTCAGCCACCAGAGCAGACCATCCCATGCATGTGCCACGACTCCTTTCCCTCTTCCCCTGTGGATGGGAACCTCACTGTGTCCACCCAGGGCATCTGTCCCCTGCCGCCCCCATGCTGTGATCTGCTCTTGGAAGGCCTGATAAGCTTAGCTCCAGTCGATAGCACAGCAGCACAAGCCAAGAGACAGATTCCAAAGTCTAACGGAGACCTGAAGTTGTTCCTGGGAGGGGTGTGCCCCCTGGTGTCCCCTCAGCTGTCAGATGCTGAGGGCTGAATACGTGTGGTTCTAGAAGGTGGCTGGGCTCCTAGGAAGCACCATCATGTCACTTGGCCATGTCACTAGCAGAGACCTTTCAGAGAGCTTGAGTGGTAGTGGCTCTGGTGCATGCTGGCGCCCTCCCGGACATCCTACTGAGGCAGTCTCAGGGACGTTTGAAAGAAACTGAATGAGATGTTAAAACTCCAATAGACCAACAGACCAACCAGAACTACTAGGTTTTCAGACTTGGTTACTATTTTTTTTTTTTTAATTTTTTTTTAACATTTATTTATTGTTGAGAGACAGAGACAGACAGAGCATGAGCAGGGAAGGAGCAGAGAAAGACGCAGACACAGAATCAGAAGCAGGCTCCAGGCTCTGAGCCGTCAGCCACAGAGCCCGATGCAGGGCTCAAACTCAAACCACGAGACCACGACCTGAGCCGAAGTCAGACGTTTAACCGACTGAGCCACCCAGGCGCCCACCCAGGCGTTATTTCTTTTATTGCTTTATTATTGAAATCATTTTCTAACACTCTTTTTCCTTTAATTAAGGTAGACAAACTTTTAAGAGCGGTTGCTGATGGAGATCTAGAAATGGTGAGTTTTGAGAAGCGCATCTGAAAAAGCTTGCTCTCCGTTGAAAAGAGCTGTATGGGTGTTTCTTGTCTGTGGTTCCTCCAGGAGCCGAGTTCTGTTCACTTTCACTCGGAAGGGCTGCGTTCAATGACTATGTGGTAATGGAGATGTTAGCAGTTTCCCTTCACGTGACAAGCAGGTGGATGTAAAGTCGCATAGCGAGCCTTTTAGATATTCACGTTCCCGGAGGCTGATGAGGTTTTGGCCAGCCCTCCCGTGTGCAGGAGCTCAGAGTGTGGACTCAGAGCCTGGCCCGCTATCGGGGAACAGGATGTGTGGGCAGGGCTGGCAGAGAGGAGGGTGGAGGATGGAGGGGTAGAGGATGGAGGGATGGAGGATGGAGGGCCGGAGCCCAGAGGTGCCGGTGTGGCCCTGTGGAAGTTGTGGGTGGCTCTGGCGCCTGGGCAGGAGGCTGAGGTCTGAGGCTTGAGTGGTCTGAGACCACTGCTAATCCATCAGACTGGCACACGGTTCCTCTGGGGGGCAGGACATGGTGTCTGTATCTCTGTCTGTCCTCTTGTGAGACTGGCCCCGGGAGAACCCAGCATTCTTTGGAGGAAGCAAAGTAGGACTTCTTCGGGCACCCTGGGAGCCATGGTGTGAGCCGGTGACATAGTCTTTGTGGAGAAGAGAGGATGGCCGTCCCTGCATCATGATACACCCACTCCTCTTCCTCCTGTGGGTAGGTGACGGGGCTGAGGCCGTTCGTGATGGAGGTGAGCAGAGGCAGACTGGCCAGTGTCTTGGGACAGCACCCAAACTAATCTACACGCGTGACAGCCTCTGACCCCCTGCCCAAGGCACCTGCCCCTCCACTCCCCCCCGTTCTTGTCACCGGCCCTCATCTGTCTCTGTTAGGGGGCCTGTTAGGTGTGGCCCCTGAGTCGACACGTTTGGTGTTTCAGCCCTGTGGAGTATCTGCTGTCAGGATGTGGAAGGGACCGGAAGGAAAGACGTTTGGGCTGGAAGGGGGTCTTCTTGGAACCCTTGTCACTCCCTGCATGCACGAGCTTAGAGTGCTCAGAACTAGGCGTAGAAATGTACTTCCATTGTTTCCGTTTTTCAGATTTAATATCCTAGACACCAGTTTTTACTGGAGCATAAATTTGACCTCTTGGTGGTCTGCAGTACTTTCACCTACGGGCTAGCGCGTGGTCGTGGAAGGGACGCCGGCGTGGAGTCAGGGAGCCTGTGTGTAGGTTCCGACCACCACTTCCTAGTTGTGTGGCCTTGGACAGGTTGTTCCCTCTCTGAGTTTTCTCCCAGCTTAGAAGGGACGGCTGGGTGTTGAGAGTGTGCAGTTAGGTGACACCAGGCAAGGTGCTCAGTAAGTGCTCCGGGACCAGGGTGTGATAGCGGCACCATTCTTCCCTTTCTAAGATGAACGAATGCCTGACACAAGCTGGAGAAATGGTAGCGTAAGTTCTCTGGTTCGCTGGAAAAAGGACTGAGAAAGGTTTGCGTGCTGTGAACCCAGTCATGTGTCGGTCACGGTGGTGGTTGAGGACGTGTTGGCCCTGATTTGGGAGCAGCTGTGTGTGTGTGTGTGTGTGTGTGTGTGTGTGTGTGTGTGTGTACGTGGGACAGAAGGAGGGAGGGGGAGATACCGTAGCTTGTAAAGGAACCAAGGATGAGTCTTAAGTCCTGTTCTCCTTCCTGCCCAACACCAGGTGCGTTACCTTTTGGAGTGGACAGAGGAGGACCTGGACGAGGTGGAGGACACCGTCAGTGCAGAAGATGTTGACTTTTGTCACCCCTTGTGCCAGTGCCCGAAGTGTGCTCCGGCTCAAAAGGTTTGGCCTTGCTTCTCTTGGTGGCGGTGAGGGTGGGGAGGCAGATTCTTCTCTTTCCCCTTAGGAAAGTTGTCTGCTTCTCAGCCAGCTAGTTACTGAGTGGCTGGAAGTTGGTATCCCTGAGATGTGGTGGGGATTCGTTGTTTAGTTCTGGGAGGAGAAAAGCCAACACCAGGGTGGATCTGGCTTGGGCGGCCTGCCTTCTGAATGAGCAGGGCAGTGAGCAGGGACATGCACACGTGCTCAAATGTTTCAACTGCTCTCTGGGCCCCCGAGTCACAAGGCAAGAGTTCATGAACAGAAGCGCCTGAGGGTGTCTGTCCACCTGGCTGCCAGTCCCCTGAGGAAGCTGCATTCGAGATCCATGGCCCACTGTCTTTGCTCAAGTTGGTACCCCCTGTGGGAGGATCCTCCCTCCAAGTACAGAGGATTCCCTGTGCCCTTTACCCAAGTCTCCCCCAGTGCTAACAGCTTGCAGAGCCATAGAACAGTATCCCAACCAGGATTTAGACGTAGAAACCATCCCCACATCTTATCCACATTTCTCCGATTTTGCTTGTACCCACGTGTGCACACGTGTTCACTTTGATCACATGCATAGCTTTGTGCATCCACAGTGAAGGTACTAACCAGCTCCCTTGCCACAGGAAGAGCCACCCGTGCTGCCCTTTCCCACACCGTCCTGTTTCCCTGCCATCCCATAACCCCTGAGCTAATTTTTTACAAGGTGTGAGATTTAGGTTGAGGTTCCCTTTTTTGTCTATGGATGTCCACCCGTTCCACACCCCTTGTTGAAAAGACCATCCCTTCTCCAAAGACTTGTGTTCTACCTCAGATAATATATGCTGTGGGTCTATCTCTGGACTCTGTGTTCTGTTCCGTGGATCTGTGTGTCTGTCCCTTCATCAGTTCCACACTGTCTTGATTACTGTAGCTATAGGAAGCCTCAGTATTGGGTAGAGTGATTCTCCCTAACTTACTCTTCTTTGCCAGGATCATTTTAGCTATTCTATGGCCTATGCCTTTCTGTATATATTTTAGAATAAGTTTGTTTATTACTACCAAAAATCTTATTAGGATTTTGGTAGGAAATGCATTAAAACTGTAGATCAAGTTGGGAAGAAACCACATCTTTACTGTGTTGTGTTTTCATGAACATGGTATATCTCTCCAAATACTTAGTCCTTCTTCGATTTCTTCATCATTTTGTGATTTTTAGCATAGAGATCCTGTCCATATTTTCTTAAGTGTACACTTAAATATTTCATCTTCTTTTGAGCAATTGTAGATGGTATTGTGCATCTAGTGTGCACTTGTGTGCTAGTTATTTAACTTGATTGTGTATGTCCCATACTGAGAAAATTAATTTGACTCTACAAAACATGTATAGTGGTGTTGTCCTTTGTATTATAAGATAATGTTGCCTTATTTAAAAAAGCTTCACTGTGGGTTATTTTTTTTTAATTTTTCTTTTTTAATGTTTATTTATTTTCGAGAGAGAGAGAGAGAGAGACAGAGTGTGAGTGGGGGAGGGGCAGAGAGAGA